CTTTTCACTTCCAATATTCCTTGGGTCTGCAGTAACCAGTCCTGACACTTGCTGCAGATGTTGGCCTTGGTGAACATACCTGGTGGGCCAATACAAATCCTCCAGCGCTTCCCTAATAAGGAGATGTACTGACAGATGTCTTCATGGCTTGGACTTAGTATGATCTCATGAGAGGTGGGACACTTACAGCCACTCACTATCTCCATGCTCAAGACCATTTTGTTCTGAATCACAGAAAGTTTGCAAAAATCTTCTGCCAGCTGTAAAGAACCTTTTGTTTATTAAACTCAGCATTTCTGAATGACATCTGATGCCGTTTCACAAGACACCTTATACAGACCTCAGAGGGAAACAGCATTTTTACTAAAGCACAAAGACTACCTCTTGTGTACCACATCCCAAATTTATCAGTCCCTGCTTGTTCAGCATATGAAAACATTCACTGCACAGTGGACAGTAAGCAAACCTATTTCTTGTCATGCTTCAGAGCCAACAGAAGAGCTATGGCTGGGTCTGAATGACCTGAAGACTCACTTCTATTTCGAGTGGAGTGACGGGACTCCTGTGACGTTCACCAAATGGCAACGCAGGCATCCCACCTACAGGAATGGTCTGGAGGACTGCGTTGTTATGAAGGGGCAGGTATATGCATGCACTCATTTTTTAGTAATGTAAGTTAATAACTATGTCAGCCTGAAATCACTTACATGATATGCTTACGCATGTATAATTCTTTATCTTAAATTTAAATAGTTTTCCTCCAAAATTTGGCATTAACCAGAAGAGAAGTCCAGAGATCAGGAGAGACCAGAAAGAGAGAGGCAGCACTTTCCTAGTGCTGTCTTCTGAAATTCCTTATCTGGTGAAAAGTTTGATCCAGAAATTTTATGTTATATTCTTCCCCTTGGTTGCAGCAAAGACAAAATTTAAAGCTCTGGGAGAGGAATGGGGATGAACTAGTTAATACCTTATGTGAGTACCTTATATGCTATTTGCATGCTTCATGTTCCAATCCAATAGACCATTATGTCCCTCAATGTCGCATCACTGAAGCATGGTATTGAGGCAGGGAGACCTGGCACTAGGGCATGTTTCTTCAGCTGTCACCTCCCTGTCAACTAATGTAAAATTCTATAGTATTTCTGACTGCTTGACTCAGAAGCTATTTTTTTGCTAAATATGGTTGCTTGATACATCTACATGCATGTGCATGCACACAAACAAGTGTAATGAATTTCGAAATAAACAAATTGAAAATGCTACTATGAAAGACATGCTATTATTGAAAGAACCATTATATCACAAAATAATGCTAATGCTTGCCAGGATTAGGCATCAATAGAATTGATCCTAAACCAGATTTCATGGAGAGAAAAAGCTCCTATTTCAATTTTATTTTTTACATAATCTATTATTTTAAAAGTCATCAGTCGTATTCAGAGTCTTTGACGGATAAAATAGATTTACTGCAACCCTACCAGATGTGCATAATTTCAGTTTAACTGATCTTTTTTCTAGAAGTGTAGTGAAATAATCCTACTTTAAAAGCAGATCCCTTAGCCCCAGATGAGATGGATCTTTACAAACCCTCTCATTAAAGAGTTAGGATAGGAAGAAATGCTGAGATTTAACAATGTTATTTATTTCCTTCTTTCACCTGAAAACAGCATTAAAAGGATTTTAAATCAATACTGACAGATGTGGGGTTTTTTTAATAACTCTCCAATCAGCCTTGTGAAGAAAGAGGAAAAACACTAGTTATATTTATGAATGCCCTGTTTTTACATTTGTTTCTTCTCCCTACTATTCTAGGATGGATACTGGGCAACTAATGTTTGTGATGAGCAACTTGGTTACATCTGTAAAAAGAAACCTTCATCACAATCCTTTGAAAAAGAGACAATTGAGGACCCAGGCTGCCAGAAAGTAAATGCTGTCTCATAAATAATAATGTTTGGAAAAATGTGCAGAAGTTAATTTACGGGTTCTTGTTTCTTTTGGATACTGTGTTTGTATCTTATAGAAAATCTACTCTTGAGGAAATCTAATTTTTTCCTCCTAGCCACTTACTAATATATGTATTTTTCATTTTTATTCTGAAAATTCTCAAGAAAGTCGAATTCATTTACATGTACATGAATACTGCCTTTCCCTCCATTTCCAGATAAGCCACCCTGTGATTCAGAAAACCATTGTATCTGTTTTGGTCAGCACAGTTCTCTCTAAGAGCAGGAAGAAATAGGAGTGTTTTACTGATATTCCTCCTTTCCACCCTCCCTACATACAAGCACTATCTGGATTCCTCGTGGCTCAGAAAATCTCACCCTTTGCACTTGGTGATGGCAGGGGCAGCTTTGGGAGGCTGTGCTCGTATGTGAATTCATTTCCATATTGCAATAATTTTGTATTTCATTATATCTTATCCTGCAGCTCTGGAAAGCTGGAGCTGCAGGTCACCCTGAATGAATCATGGGCTCCTCACAGACTCAGTTTGTGTAATCCTATCCTTACAGAACACTGCAAAGCAATAGCAAATATCACAGTCACAATTTTCTTTGAAAATTCTTGTACACGTAAAAGAGATGGAAACTAAGATGTTAATGTCACCCCTTAAACAAAAAAAAGCCTCCTGTAGGAGTGAACAGCACCAAAAATAGCTTTTATTTATTAACAGATTGGCCCAGTCTCATCTTGGTTTTAAGCTCAGCTGCATTGAATATTTATACACAGAAGAGTAGAACAACTTTTACACTGAAGTCTCTTTCCATTGCACATTAAAAGCCTTATGTTTGTCACAGGGTTGGAAAAGATATGGTTTTCACTGTTACTTGGTGGGTTCTGCACTTTTGACATTCTCAGAAGCAAATAAGACATGTGAACAGAGCAAAGCTTATCTAGCTACGGTGGAAAGCAGGTGGGAAAAGAATTTTTTTTAAAAAAATCAGTGCTTTTAATGGAGAAACTTGCAAAATGTGTCCATTTTTTTGAATCCTTTAAAGAGTCTTATCAGCACTTCTCAAAAAAATTTATAGTAGTAAGCCACATAAAGATTATCCATGCAGGAAAAAAACCCTAACCAAACACCTCCATGTTTTAGGGCTTTCTACTTTATTATAGCAGTTTCCATATTCGAGGGGGTACTTGAGTTAAAGAGTTTTCTGTTATCTTTCAATTAATAATTAAAGCAACTTCTGGTTTTGGGGGGGGAGGGTTTGGTTGTTTTGGGGATGGTTTTTTTGGTTTTAGTTTTTTCTGTTTTCTGTTTTTTTTCATCTACTTGTTGACTGGTTTTCTGGCATTATGAAAGGAAAGCTTTAAAAAAAATATTTTCCTAAACTACATTCTAAGCCAAATTCTGAACAAATGTGGGAAATCTTCCCCAGAACCTGCCTCCTCCTGCAGCCAGAATGTATAATCTCTAACCTACCCACATCTCAGCCAGGCTTTGCAGGCTTCGTGGCCTCTGAGGAACATGACTGCTGTCAGAGGTGATGGCTAGCAAAGCTAACAGCTTGGTCCTGTCTTGGTGGTCTGTTTGAGGCACCTCAAAGATTTGGCAAGACAATGAAAATAGTAGAATACAAGTAGAAGCCCATATAAGTAGTGATTTGTGACCTTTCAGACGCCTTTAGCTGAAAAGAGAAAGTTGTTCCTTATGAAATTCTTTCGACTGCAGTTTAAAGCCTACTGAGGTTTTGCCTGAACTTCACTGAGGAGCTGTTGCTTTGGGATCACATTAGCATAACTCTGTTTGTATTATTTAGATCAATATTGCAAGGTAACAGGCTGTGAATTAACCCTGTTTTCTGCTGCAGAAATGAGCAAACCTTTCTGGTTAGTCTGGTGGGGCTGAGGTCTGAAGAGTATTTCTGGGTTGGTCTCTCTGACACAGAAGAACAAGGGAGTTTCAGGTGGACCAATGGTGAAACTCCTCACTTCACACACTGGAACACAGCAATGCCAGGTAAATTCTGCATGGACTCAAACCCTGTGACAGGAGTGCAGCTGCAACTCACATGGGTTTCTACTTTCAATCCCCTGGAGTTAGAAATTAGAGTGGGCACTATGTTTTCTGCCTGTAGCTGTCAGTGGCTCACACCTGTGTTTGACATCAGTGCAACAAGCACTGTCACAGCTGTGTGTCAGGTGTTGGTGTAAGTCAAAGTTGTACAGAAACAGATTTTTAATAGGTTAGACTGAAGGCAATATTGTGCAGGAGTTAACAACGTCAATGGTCTCATTTTTTTCAAGGTTTTTCAACACCAATTAATAACAACTCATCAGATTTAGAAGAAATATTCTGGGCAGTTTTTTGACCCACGAGGTGCATATGGGATAAATGAGCAGCAGCCATCCAGCTGTTTTGCATTTCAGTGATACAGATTACCATCTATGTGGGAGCTCTGACCTTCATACCAGCTAATTATGCCTTAAAACAAACCTGTTGTACTTGGTATCAGTCTTCTTGAAATTGAATTACAAGGATAGTACTCCAAAGTAGTTGTCAGATCATCTATTACATATGTAAATATAATCAAGAGCCATTTGCCCTGTGATTTCCCTGCAGTGGCAAGATAAGGAAGATTTGTTTTCTAAAGCTACAAATCTCTGATTCTGGCAAAGCTATGTCCCTGAGATTCATTGGCCCATATCTGGCCTCTGGCAGGAGGTATAAGAATAGTTTTATATCCAGGACATTTTTTTAATCTGCATAATCTGCATCTTTGAATAAAAGCATAGGTCTCATTCCTTAGAAATCTTTTAAGGCTTGGTTTTACTCATTTTGTTTCCATATCACAAAGGAAAAGAGCAAGGGTGTGTTGCCATGGGAACTGCAGCTGGATTATGGGATGTTGTTAGCTGTGAGAAGACATCAAATTATCTTTGCAAACAGTGGGCAGTGGGAGTGCCACCTACTGCTCCTCCAGGACAGGTCCCTGTGGCCACCTGTGCCGAAGGTTGGGATGGATCCTCCCAGACAGACTCGTGCTTCAGAGTAAGTGTGTGTCTCCCTGCACTGCGAGCCTGAGCGTGGGTTACTGTGATGCTGGGGCACTTTTTGGGAATGATCTTCTCTTTGGTATTCGAGGACAGGAAAAAAAGAGAAAAAATCCATCAAATATAACAAAAGTCAACAGCAGAAAACGATGAACACAGAATGCTAGAAATATGCTTTCTTTTGTCTAAATGCCAGATGAGAACCTCACCTAACTTATTTGCTTCCAGGAGTTTCAAACTTCAGCAAAAACATAGTATTGCATCTCAAGAACTGGCAGTGTCACTTGCAAAAGATAATGTTTCTAAGAAAAAACATGCCCCTCTGCCAACCTTTTCTCACACAGCATGCAATACTCTTAGAAACTTTTAGATCCAGGTTTAGTTGGTGACTCTTCAGCAAATAAAACTTTTGAGCATTCTCTCGATTTAACTTAAATGCCTTTACAAAGAAAAAAAATACAGAGAAAGAAAAGGCAAAATAGATCAAAGAAAAGTAAATACGCAGCATTGCTCTTCCAGTTCTTTATATAAGTATCTTCTTACTTTCTTGAGACTTTCTGCCTGTTGGGAGGCCAGAGTTGATTTTAGTTCTGTATTTACAAGGGTCTCAGATTCTGTGTCACGCCTAATTATCATTGTATTGGTTCCACCAGTTACCAAATTGTTGATTATCCTTACAATAAAATGTCAAGCATTTTGTTCCCTAAGTATGTCCTTAGTTCAAGAATGCATGCACTTCATAGCAAAAAGTGCAGCTATTTGTGTGCTTGCACCACCATGCAAAAACCTCTCCCCCAGCCACGGCCCACATTCTCCCAAATACCTTTCTCCATCCATACTATCTTTTCCATTCCAAATTATTGCCTTTCCCTTCACCTTCAATTTCTCAAAAATCTCCTGCTTTCTACTGTGAAGTGTCATGGCTAAAGCTTTTCTATCTTTCTTTGAACCTTTCAGTGGTCAAAGTTCCAGTTAGACTATAGATTATTTTTTTCTCCTCTGTACATTCTGATAGCTTTTGTTCTCCTCAGATGCCTATACTACTCTTGGCTTATTTTAAAATAGATGATGCTAAGAAAAAAATACTTACACTTTACATTTCTAATGTTTAATATTAAAGGTTTTGGCAGATGTTATGTTGTCTCACTCAAGAATAAAGGGGTGCTAAAGTGACACTGATTTTAATTACACGTATTTTATATCCTTTGCACATTTAGAAATTTATTTTTATCTTTTGTTCTCAACAGTTTTTTGTGAGAGAGGGAAACCAAAAGAAGTCTTGGTTTGAGGCTGAAGAATTCTGTAGAGAAATAGGTGGAAATCTAGTTACAATCAATACAAGAGAAGATCAAGTTTTATTATGGCAATTAGCATCGTGAGTACTTGCATAACAGCTCTTTTTCATGTTCCTGCTATGTTAAATACAAAATTCCTTAAAATATATCTGGAGCCGAGCAAGAGGCTGAGCAAAGCAAAGAGGCTTTGATATTTTAGAAATTTTCATCACAGGTTTTTATCAAGGCTGTTGTCCAGATCTGATCAACTTTTAACAAGTTAGTCCCTCTGCCAAAAGGGAGAAAATAAAATGTTCAGCTCTGTGATATTTTGCAACTGGCTGTAATTCATACTTTAACCAACTCATTCAAAAAAACCCCTTCGCTACTCTGTAATGTAAACCAAAATGCAAGGACTTAATGTGAAATTCTTCTGACTATAAACTGAAGACTCCTGAAATCAGTGATTAATTTTAATTAATTTTTATAGCACTGTAGATGCCATGTCTTGCTCATGATAAGCTATGACATTATTTCCCCCCAAATTAGATTACTATTATGATTGTATTCCATAATACCAAGACATCTCAATGACATCTAATATACAACTAGTTAACCAAAAGTGTTTAATATAGTGATGAATCTAGGTTTACTTTCTCAAATAGATTAAAACTGTCATATTGAGAAGTTTTTGTGATCTCACCTTTCTTCATTTTAATATATTTCAGTATTGTGAGAAGTTGAATGTGGTTTTGTCTGTTAAGTCTCTTTGCTTTAGAGTATGAAATCTTTGTAGAGGGAAACCTTCATGTTATGCAGTGAATGAAATAGGTCTCTATTTTATTTGGTTCATAGGTATGACAAGATAAATAGCATGAACTCTTAAATAAACTACTTAGAAATTGCCAAGAAGAAAATCAAAGCAGTTGAAAAGCATTTTCCACTATTTTTTATTACTTAAATTGTATTATAACTCTACTGATGTTTTACTTTTGCTAAAGCTTCTGTCTTTGAACTCATACTACAGCCAAGAGCTTCGTTGCAGCCACAGGCACAGGAGCCTGAGCTGACTCTGTGTCACATCACTTGTCCTTTACCTAATATTCAAAGATGGTAAGACTTGTCCCAGTACAGAGTAGTATAAAACTCCCTGACAGAGTGCAGGGGATGAGCCTGGCTATGGGCCACAGCTTCCAGTTCAGGTGTGATAGAAAGCAGCATGTCTATGCTTTCCAGCATTTATGTCATGGCCTCTCTTTCTACACTCATTAATCTATATTGTATGAATTATTTTAGGGACAAAGGACTGAACACTCAGGCTTTCTGGATTGGTTTGTTTCTCTTAAATCCTGATGAAGGATTTGCTTGGATTGATGGTTCCCCTGTGAGTATTTATTTGCTGTATATTAATCGACTTATATAAAGATCTTCATCTTTTTATACCATCTTTTACAATCTCTTTAAATCTTCATCAGGTGCATGGCAACCCTTAATTCAGCAGCCAAATAGTTCCAATGCACTGTCGTAACACTCTAATGGAAGTACAAAATTGCTCTGTTTCATTCCCGGTACCATGTTATATCTTCAACAGTCCATGCTCTTAGACCTTCACAGCATCCCAAAACAGACAGTGCTGTATAGCAATACAGGAGGTCAGGTTGCCAATATTCACAAAGTGAGATAAACATGACTCCCTCCACCCATAAGTTTTTCTTTCATCAGCTTTTCTGTACTATGTGATCTTTGCACCTTCTTCAGGGAATGATTGGGAAACTCAGTTGATTAGCATGACTTTCACAGCCCTCTCAGACCTATTTGAACTCCTGTTGATCCCATAAACAAGGCATTTGAGATGATAAGATACTGAAATTGTGTTATACTGGCAATCTCAATTACTTCTACTCAGCTCAAATCACATGGTAATTGATATGTATTTCCAACACAGGTAATTTATGAGAACTGGGATGAAGATGAACCCAACAACCGTGAAGAACTTGAACATTGTGTTATGTTTAATAGATCACCCAAAATGCGCTGGAACGACTTGCGCTGTGAACATTTGCTTAATTGGATTTGTGAAACAAAAAAAGGTATATTACTTCCTCATTTAACTGGAGCAATAAACCCAAGTTTCAAAAGCAAATTTTATGGATTCAAACAAATTGAAAGGAAGAAAAATACTGGGAATTGTTCATTTTAAAACCAGTTATAGTGAAGGCAACACATAAAACAAGAGAAATGTATTGAGATATTTCAATTGTACTCAGATGCAGGGAGTTAAAGGTGTCCCTATTACTTTATCTCTGGCTTTATCTCCTTCTGTCATGGACTGAATAAATTTGCAAAGCAAAGGTACTTCTCTCCTTTTATCTCCTCTCTATATTTTTATCTGCTTCAGGCATATCCAGGATAGCCAAAGATGCAGGACACTAGAGTTCTCTGTACAACAGAGACAAAAGCTTTGCTTCCCACTGTGAGACAAATAATGGGAACTAAAGAGAGTGATCAGTTGCTATAGGAACTGGAAACTCCGAAAAGCTGATCAAAAACAGAGTCTGGTGCAACCCCGATGGACTCCTGCATCCACTATCTTTGCCTGGAAAGCAAGGCCCCAACACCAAGACTCCCAAAACTGGCACCAGGGTCATAAAACGGACCTGGCTGATGTGTGTTGGGGTACCTGTCAGTGGAAAATGGGGTCTGCATGGGCTGAAGACCACAAGTGACAACTGATAATGAAAGAACTTGTTTTGTTTACTCACTCCTATTTCTGCATCCCGTTTGTAAACTGAGTATTTGTGTGCATCTCTATGGAGAAGGAGATTCTTACAAGCTTCTTGAAATGAAAAGAAAATTGGATGCACACAGGGAACTAGTAGGAGGCACAGTAGGGAGGGGAAGGGATAAGCAGTTATATAAAAAACACTGAGTATGTCTAATACTTGATGACTGCCAACAAACCATTACCCTCAAAGGGTGAATAAGGCACCATGGTAACATTGAAAAATTGCTTAATCAAGAAGGAAGAATCACTGTTCCTTTGTGGGTAGATTAGTCACACAAATGTACCATCCAAACACTGATTTCTGCACACCAGCTTGAAGCAGCACATCCTGTGCAGCCTTGTCTGGTGTGCTGAACTTGCTGCTTTATACAGATGTGGTTCTCTGTTCTTGGTGAGATTACTTACAAGTACTTCAGAAAACATGACACAAAAACTCTGATCAATTTATCTTGATCCTAGATGACCTTTCAAAAGCAAGAAAAATTAAAGAAATTGATCTTGTTATTGTAAGTCTAGATTACATGATGATTAACATGAGAGAAGACAGGCTCAGCTGTTAATCCCTCATATTCACTTAAGACACATATTTACATGAGATACTTCATTTTTCAGAAAACCAATGAATGTTGTAGCTATGTTAGGATTAAACAATAAAATCAAAATGACAAGAAGTCTGTAAAGTAATAATTAAGAAATTTAAATAATTTTAGCTTTGTTCTTCATTAATTACTTAAGAATAAAATGTTTGAAAGACTCCAAAAGAATTTTACTCGATTTTTCATTTTTTTACCCCACTTATTTCTCATCAAAATGTTCCTGTCATTTCTATACTAATGTGTTCCTGTCATTTCTATACCACAGAAGAAATGGAGAAATCTAGGAGAATTAGTAGTCCAGAAGTACAAAATAACAGGCATCCAAATGAAAGCAGAGCTACTTTTGAGAGCCTATAGCTGGCTCTGGAACAGTAACAGCTTAATTGCTTCCTCCTGGTCCATTCTGTAATTAGAAACTTGGGTTTCATATCTATAGGTTCTACAGAACTCTTAAAAACAGACATCAGGAAAGGAGGAATGCATTGAGACACTGGAAATTATGTGTAGTGTTAACGATATACAAGAACTAAGCTTTCAGTACTTGTGAATAGTTTACTATGATGTAGATAAGCTTTAGAAATTACTATATTGGCTGGATTATGTGTTTTGGCTCTAGTCCCAAGAATATAAAAAAAGTTAATCGTAGCATGTCAAGAAAAATGCTAAAATACTTTTTCATCGTAAAGTCAGTTTACCAAGAGTTTACTGTGCATTCTGCATTGTTTAAGTCAGTGCTTTTGGTGATACATATATATACTGCAAAATACATGTTTTTCACTAGATAAATGTTTCTAAATTATACACATAATTTAATATGGTGATATGTGCTCTAAATTCTTGAAAATGCATTAGCATAATTCGTTGTTTGTTGAAATTTCTTTCCCTCTATTATACAAAGCATGTTAAACTACATAAAGCAAACCCCTCTGCTTTTTTGTATTTGGAATGTTGCTCATGATGATCTTTTATTTTACAGGTACACTACTAAAACCTGTACCAGACTACAAACTTGGTAGGATCTTTTCCTCTTTCAAAAAGTTGATTATGGTATAGTTTTCAGACTTTGTACAGACCAGATTATGAATGTATTATATATGATTCTTTATCTTTCAGAATATCAATCCACTAGTGATGGATGGATTATATATGAAGATAAGCAGTACTATTTCAGCAGAGAACATGTCCACATGGAAGAAGCACGGAGAATTTGTCAGAAGAACTTTGCAGATCTTGTTGTCATTGACAATGAAAGCAAAAGACAATTTCTATGGAAATACGTAAGCACTGAGCCTATTAATTAAAATTGAATTTTGAAGCAGAGCAGATAATAAACGGAACAGCCTAACTATTTGGCAAGGCTGCAGTCCTGAGCTATTGTCCCACATTGTTTATTTACAGAACAATAGATTTGCTCAGGACCTGCAAAGAAATTACTACTGTTTTTAATAGGTAGAGAAAAATGGCATGCAAACATTAAAGGTGTAGCAAAGGATAGTTCATGCCTAGGTTGCTTATCTCTTCTAATATATGTAGTATTCAGCACAGTGATTATTGCTTTCTTGTCCAGTGAGTTCCTTACTCTAGGATGTTCCACATATCCCTGTTGCCTGCTTGAAATCTGGGTCTAAACCTACATTATTTTTACCTGAGGCTCAAATCATGCAGGAAAAAAAAAAAGGAAATAGGAAAAAATAATCACAGGCATGGTTAATTGGCTTCCAGGTTTTTGCTTGATGTTGAGGAAGAGTTAGTGCTTAACTTTTAATTATTTTTGTTTTAGAGTTACACAAAACACAAATGGGAATCATATTTCATTGGCTTAGTTGTCAGCTTTGATAAGAGATTCAGGTGAGTAAAGGAAAACTGGTAATGGACAACAAATGATGGTAATTTCATCTTGCTTTCAGGGAGCATTTGTGTGTGCTTTTGTTTTACAATATAGTAACTCTTGTGCAACTGACCTCTGGATTGTTTTCACAAGATGTCTTACATCAGAAGTGTAACACTCTTCTATATTTAAGCAATGTCTTTTTTTTCCAAATTTGGGAGAGCAAACCCAATGAAAGTTCAGGCTGAGACTCATTTTACTTAATGTCTTAAGTTCTTTCTTAATGAAAGAACTGAGTTAAACACCCAAGCAAATCTGCATAGTTAGTGAGAAGAGGCAGCTCGTTTTAGGATGTTATTCACCTGATTCATTTTAGACATCGACCTAAGGATGAGATTTACTCTGACCAGATCTCCAATGTCTGAGAAAGCCTAAGAAGTTTTGATAAAAAGTATATAGAAATGTTTAATCAGATTAATCTCAGTAGTTCAAGTTATGTGTGCTGGAAGCAAGAAGCGTAAGCAACATCTCATCCAATAGGCTTTCTGAAATTTCTGGTAGAGAACCTCTTTTAACAATCTGTTTGTAGAAGACTTTCAGGAGGACACCTTTCTGGGATGCAAAGGAAGTCCATGGACTGCTGATGGGCCTTGAATGTGATAGTACTAGACAGATGAGAAGCAGCAGTAATGCTGGGGCTATGTCCTCTCTGGGATATGTAGAGCCTTCACCCACTGGTCACTGCTGATACCTTGCTTAGCCCTCTGTCTAAGCAGACCTTGTGACTGACTGCTGGAGATGTCTGTCTGGCAGCCACTGTCCCCTTGTTTCTTCCAGATGGCTGGATGAGACCCCCGTGAACTATGTTGCCTGGGCTCCAAACGAACCCAATTTTGTAAATAATGATGAAAACTGTGTAATAATGTCACAAGATTTTGGTGAGTAAAATGGCAACAAGAAATATTTGGGTAAAAATTTAGCATCAAAATCTGAAATGTTTGGTATATATTTAAATTTGAGGCTACCCCAAAAAGAGGTAGTTCAAAATACTGACACTTTTTCATAACAAACATGCCGAGGTTTGAAACTGTGCCATCACTATTAGGAGACAAACATATGGCAGAGGAAGGAGGAGTGTATTTGGGTCAATGTGTTTCATCTGTGCTTAATGAATGCTGTCTCAGGTAGTGTTGTAGTGGTGGTAGCAGAGTTTCTCTGTAATCTGTACAATAATTATCTGTATTCCATTTCTTTACAGGCTTTTGGAAAGATATAAGCTGTGCTGTGAAAAATGCCTTTATCTGTGAAAGGCATAATTCAACTTACTCAGGATTTGCTCCTACTGTACTTTCACCTCTTGGAGGATGCCCTGAAATTTGGCTTTTGTTTAACAATAAGGTGCAGTAATATTTAGCAGATTTTCTATAGATGAAGAAACCAACTATCCCTTTTATCTCACCATATAAATTCTGTCTTCATATACCAATTTATTAAGAGGCATCTAGTTAGCAGTGTAGTAAATTTCCAGGTTGGCAAATTTGTAACTAAATCTCAAAAAAAAAGATGATTTGAATGTTTGAAGTTACAATTTTTGTAGATGTCCATATGCCTTTGGCCATACTTACTTTTCCAGTCTTTGGAATTTTCTGGTTATTTCAGCACACTTATTGCATGGAAATCTTGTTTCATTATCCTTACCTGTAAGTGTAAGACCCTTTTTCTGAGTAACACTGAGATGAAAATACGAAAGGTCACGCTTTTCCATATGCAACTGGCTACCACAGAACTCATCTTAAGCTGAGTAACAAACATCAATAAATGTCAAATCAAATAGAGAAAACAAGCAAGCATTGCTTTCTGCTAAGTTAAGCAAAAAACCTGAACATATGAACTTAAAAAAACCCCAACAAACAAACAACAAATGAAAACCACACATCAATCCCACAATGCAATCAATAGGAAAAGCTTTTTACGCAGTCAAAGGGCTTAAAAAGGGAGGAGCCCTCACCTTTCAGTAATGTCCCTGAAATTACTTGTGCACTCGGGACACCTACTTAATTCCTCAAAAGCTTTTGTAGGTTTTCTGCTCTTCCCCAGTACAAACCCCACAGGTGTGTAAGTACTGTGCACACATTGCTGTGATTAGCTGTGTCATCTTCTTACTGGCCAACAGGATTCATGTTTAGCAAATCCCTTATCTGCTGCTCTTTGCATGTAGGGACTAGCACTGAATTGATCCAAATCAAGGTTTTTGATGCCTGAAATTCTTTCTAATCCTTTACTCTCTCTGCAGTGTTATAAAATATTTGGATCCAGAGAAGAAGAGAGACTAACTTGGCACTCAGCAAGAAGAATTTGTATAGAATTAGGGGGAAATTTAGCCTCCATACACAATGATCAAGTGCAAGGTATGACACCTGAGCCTTACAGCACTATGTTTGAAGCCAGCACATTTTACAATCTAATGATGAGGCTGAAATGTCCTCCAGATCTAGACAGTATAACCTATAAAGGAAGACCCAGAACTGCTCGATCCAGAGAGAAGACTGGAGTGAGATACAAAAGCATCATGCAGCAGGAAAAGAATAATCTGTTCCCCATGGACTTGGAAGATGGGATAAATTGTAATAGTTTACAGCCAGGAAATGCTCACAGATATTCAAGTTAGACAGTAAACAAACATCCATCAGAAATTACTTATGTGCAGTTGATGCTACATTGTGGAAGACTGAATAATCCTTTCAAGTCCCTCATAGCCCCCATTTCTATAATACTTCCAGGAAGCCTAAATAATTTTTATCAAAAAAATGTTTCTTTTCTTCCTCTGAAATCAAACTGCTTCAGTTCAACTACCCATTGTTATTTTTATCTTTTACCATTAGCTCATAGTCTAACAATACTGAACTTGTTATTTCCAATATTTTTAAAAGATGATTGGTTGTTTTATTTGTACTTTCATTTACATGGAATTTGAAGAAAGGACACTCCTTAGCTACTTTTTATTTTATTTTTTTTAATCTATTTTTTTTATTAGCCTTCCTCACCTTCCAGCTAAAGGATATTGCCAGTGGAACATGGATTGGACTGAATGACATTATCTCTGAGGGTACATATCTTTGGACAGATGGAAGCATATTTGACTATTCTAAGTGGGCACGAGGATTCCCATTTAGAGATGAATATGTAATGGCTGACAGGAAGTATATAGAGGTAAACAGAAAAAATAATACAAGTAAACAGAAAAAAATCAGAAAATGTGCAGCTTAGATAACATACTCAAGATCCAAGTAACCAGCCTGACTTCTATTTCAGTTAAGATCTTACTTTCAATAGCTTAAAGCAGAAGGCAACTGAATATTTTGAAGACCAAATTTTTAAAGCTGTACTCAGAGATTAACAGGCACGTTTAGAGTCCGCGCTTATTGTCATTCCTTTCTGGAAGTCTAGAACTGCAGAAAACGAATGCTGCATTATATTTACTGCTAGAATTAATTATATTTATTAGTATTATTATATTTACTGAAAACATTCCATATTAATAGCTGTGATTTTTACTCTGGTTTACTGTTTTACCTTGTATGGCATGAGTCCAAATGAAACTCCAACAAATTCAGTACAGAGTAACATAAACTACATAGTAAGAATAACGTCAATACACTCCCAGGAATTTTAATAAACTGACAAAAGTTCTTGCATTAGTCTACCAATGAAAGTACATTTGCTTAAGATATATAATATAATACATTTAATTTCCAAGAAGCAATAAATGAAAATAAGAGCCAGAAAATTAGAAAAGAAAGCTATTACATTTTTCCCCTCACATCTATTTCTATTATTTTTCTGGGCATTTTGCACTTTATCAGCAACAATTTGGGGTTTTGTTTGGTTTTTTTTCCTAGACTGACTGTATTGCAATGACGAAAGGATCTGTAGATAAAGAAGGATTTTGGGAAAATACTAACTGCAAGCATAAAAAAAGCTATATTTGCCAGATGGACAGCAGTAAGTTTTAATTTTCGGGGGTATTTTTTGTTGCAAGACATTTACTGAACAATTTGAGCATTTAAGTCCTCAGTTGCAACTGCACGGCTGTGAGTGTAGCAGGCGGGGTGAGAGAAGCAGGGCTACTTCCCCAGCTAAGGAATTCCAGTCACGAAAGTCACTCACTTCGGAATAAGGACTATAGAAAAGTTTTTGCTTTTCGACCTCTACCCTATCAGCACACCTATCAACACTCAGAGAGGCTGACTTTGCCTACCCTGTAGATATCCACACTTAAATCAGTTGCCTGCATGTAGCAAGCAGATACTTTGAAGGAAGGATTCACCTGCCTCATCATGAGAAAGATGCCCAAACCAGCTTCCTAGAAGAGCTGTGCCTTCAAAGTACCTGTTCTCTATTGACAGAAAGGTTTAGCCATCTGTGCTTTACCCAGCTGTCACAGATATAGGCGTCTGAATCCAATTATTTTGCAAGTACAGTACAGAAAGACAAATCCAACAGTGACCTCCAACTGAGGGGTTAAGTGAGGCCAGTTAAGCTGGTTAGTTTGCTTGTCGGTCCCTAGCAACGCCTTCATGTCATAAGAACAGCAATACTCAGAAGGGCAAAAGTTCTAATTTTCTTCGTGTAGCCTCAGGGTGGGAGACATATCCGGAGCACAGCTACACTGCAGAGTTTGCAGGAATAAAACCAGGGAACTGCTGAGCAACAAGTAAAAATACAGGAAGAAGCCACAGCTGGGCCAGATGTTTCATGGTCTCTGTCCCATGCAAGTGCAGAAAGATGCACAAGGATGACACTAGCAAAAACAATTGCCAGGGCATCCTCAGCAGTAGCTGAACACAAAGACACTTTTTGTCCCTTTTTCTGTTCCCATCACTGGCTCTAGGGCCTTTGCCTTCTGCTTCCGCATATATAATTTAAGGCACAACTGCAATTTCCTTTTTCACTTCATCCTACATGTAGCAGTTGGGTCACAAATTTTGCTTAGAATGAAATTCACCCCTATTTTGAGACTGAAGTGATGTGGAGACCCTGTCCTGTACTTGTGCCTGGGAGGAACTTCACCTGCACTGAGGGTGGGGGACATAGAGAACTCTGGGCAGAGGATCTTGGTGGGACCAGTATTCACATAATTTCATCTGGTCAGTGTATGTCTATAGATACACACAGCTCATTTTCTGCCTCCCCCTAATTCCTGAATACACTATTTACACTATAGTTTAAAATAATTCCAAATTACCATTAAAGTAAGTCTCCTGGGTTTTAAATAAGAAACGCTTTTACTTGATGCATTATATTCATATGTTACTCAAAAGTGATGCTGCTATCTGACAGCTAGTAATTTTCCCCTTCCTCTCAAATTTGTACCTCTTTCCTACAGAGCCTGAACTGTTTCATTCCACAAGTGCTCCAGATTCTGATTTCATCCATTATGGTAACAGCAGCTATTTAATCATTCCTTCTAAAATGAATTGGGAAGAAGCAAGAAAAGCCTGCAAGGAGAAATCTTCAGAGCTTGCCAGCATTTTTGATTATTACAGTAATATATTCTTGCAGCTGCAGGCAGTGCAATATGGAGAGCCTTTATGGATTGGGCTCAACAGCAATGTGGTAAGATTAATAAATTTGTAGTTAGTGCAGTTAAATGCTATGATTGGGTTACTACCAGCAGAAAAGGGGAGAAAGGAATACTAAACATAGACTCAAGAATTTCTGCTCCTGCATATTTATCTTTTCTTCCTTACAAAATAATAATTTTCTCAGGTTTTTCATAGTGATAGCTGCAGTTTACTCCTGAATGTTTCTCCTCAAAACTCCACTGGAGCTTAACGTGCTTGTTTGACAGCCAGGCCTGAGACCTGTTTCCATGTGAGCTTTCCACAGATTTCATGTTTCCCAGCATGGGAGGCATACTGCTGTGTCTTGTTTTTATGTTGCTGAATCCTGATTCGGTATTTTAAACCAGTATTTTAACAGTACTAGGACAGATATACAAACTGAGGTGTATATATCATTTTGAAAACATACTTTTGTGTAACTCCATTTACCTGAAACAGCAGATGAAGAGTGTAGAAAAATTATGTTAAATGTCTGTTTCAATTTTAGAATTCTGGCTATTATAGATGGACCGATAAAGAGAAAATAAGCTTTTCTAAGTGGGACTATGGAGAACCAAAACAGAAAGTAGCCTGTGTCTATCTGGAGCTCTCTGGGGCCTGGAAAACAGCATCTTGTAATGAAAAACATCTTCCTCTCTGCAAAAAATTTGAAGGTAAGCTATGGAGATTTTTGGTTTTATGGCAGAAACCTTGCTTTATCTGCTTTGACTGAAATATAAATTTCTAAGTACATATAAAGGAATAATAAGCCTGAGTATGTAATGTAACCTTTATTTTGCAAGAACAATACTTTATTTTGATGGCATTGTCATTCACCAGCCAAGATATTGCCATTTTACTGGACTGGAGTGATAGCTGCCTTGGGAGCAGGCAGACAGCTCATAGAGATTGTGGCAGCATTAAACATTTCACATGAAGTCTAGAATGTAAAATGTTTTGCTGACAGGGGGTTTGTGGGAAGGCCTATAATAAATGAAGTCCATTGAGTATAAAATAAATTTGGTTTCTTCAACATATATGCATCATTCATACACTCATTATTACATCATTTCTATAAGATTCTAAAAACTGGGTAAAGGAGGGAGAGTTGTATCTAATAAAAAAAGAGTCTGGTATTGGTCCAAACAAAAGTTCATACTTCCTAGGGATTCTATGGGTACCGCTGAGAAATACTACACAGTTAAAGCTATAGGCAAACCTCAGGATGGAACTGAACCTTTTTGCTTTCTCATTTCTAATACAGTAACACATTTTAGCTCTAGTGACGCAGACTTAATGGAAATTCAGAGTTTATTTTGATATGATTTTGTGTTTGGTTTTTTTTTAAATTTCTTTTCCAGGCCATACTTTGAACTTCATATCTGTTAATTTGCAACTTTTGCTTTAAAAACACATGTACTAACTGACAATGTTGCTGTTTCTTTCCGTAATATCATTGCTTGCAGGAAAATGAGGGGCTACTACATAAACGTTCAGTGAGCCTCAAATTATTCTATGCATTGTCAGAGTGAAAGAAATTTTATGTAAGGATTGTTATCTTGAGGAAAATATTAAATGGCAAATTTCCACAGTAAACTAGTGTTTAGATGACATTTCATTTAAAAGCAAACTTATTTGAACATCTTGAGGGTTTGGTAGTTATCTGGTTTGGGTTTTTTTTTCCTGCTTTTTACTGTTTCTTTTATTTATACAAATTTGTTGATTATAACAACATAAACTAGAACCAAAATCTCTGAACACTCAAATATCCTTGAGACACTTCAAGTCTGATTCAGTTAGTAACACAGAAGAGTCCAGGTTCACACTGAGTCATCCACTTGCTGCTGAGTATTCCTGTTCCTCATAGTCAGTCTTGACTTAGTCACTGATAATTCTAGCACTGTGTGCCAAAGAATATTTTAAGTATTTTAAGAAAAGGGGTTTTTAATACTTGATTTCATATCTGAAGAACTGCAATCCCTACTGAAAGAAAGTATCCATAATATCTCATTTCTTCTAGACGTACTTCCTTCTGATCCCCCACAGGATATTGGAAAATGTCCTGAATCTGATCACATATCTTGGATTCCTTTCCGAAGCCACTGCTATTACTTCAATGCCAATGAAATGAGCTGGGCTCAGTCTGTGACTCAGTGCATTCAATCAGGTAATTATTCTTTTTACCCAAAGATAGGATTTCAATCTTGACATAAAAAAGAAGACTTTAAAAAAAGTCTTGAAAAATAATACTGCAAAATCTACAAATACTAAATAAAGGGAAATAAATGTCTCATTTATTTCCCACCGTTCTGTGCTTTTCAGCTATGTTGAACTAAAGGTGATCAGATTTCCTTGTTTTATTTTTCAGCTGTGCTTGTTTCTTGTTATATTTCTTCCTTCACAAAGTTTCTCTTTATAGTAATATTTTAAATTTTATGTAATTAAAAAGAATCAAAACAAAACAAAGCAAAACACCTGTTTCTGGCCTTATCCCTTCTCTTCCATAGTTTGCCCTACACAATAGTCGAAGTAAATATCATAATAACAATCACTCCTTTCTAACACATATCACCTTTTTGTGATGTGAAAAGGGTTGCATGTGCTGCCTGGAAGCCCTCGATTGACCAGCAAGGCTCCCTGGCAGACTGCAGAGCCAGAGGAAGGCAAACATTTCCCTCCCCCTCCTTGGGGACATCTGGTCCTGACCAAGGCCAGGAGCTGCACCTTGGCACTCTTTCACCTATGCTGCTGAGTCATCACCTACCTCATCCCTGTCTCAGGAGGCTGTGAAAGAGAAAAGGAAGCACTATACTGCCCAAAAGAAATGGATCCTTTGTTTAATATCTTTTTAGATCCTCTTGGCCCTCTTACTTTACCACCATTGCCAGTTTGAATTGCTACATGTCATCCTGTCAAACCACAAAGAGCAAATGAATAATCATCCATAATTCCTACAAAAAATATCATCCAATCACTTGAAAATATAGTGCATTTTGCCTGGTGTTTAAAAATCATCATCTTCACTGTGCTTTCATGTCTTTCAGTTCTGATGACATCAGTCACTGTCTGTGCTGTTCCTCTACAGCTGGACATGATTCTGTGGTTTCTATTCAAATACTTGTTTACTCCCTGCCTGCAGGAGAGGTTTTATTATTAACTTTACCCTATCTCAAAAGCTGTAACTATGTTGGAGATACCTCCAATCATCTTCTATGGTTTTGTTAATAGGTGGTATGTTGACTTCTGTAGAAGATCCAGCTGAATCCAACTTTTTAGTAGAACATGCAGACTTATACACAAGCAAGACAAGTGGCTTTTGGATAGGAATCTACAGAAATGTAAAGGGTAACTATTCTAAGTACTATAAATAAACATAAATAGACTTTATTAAATGGGCAAAAATATTAATAAGATACATTGTTTTTAAGCAACTAATTGAAGTACAGTACAAGTTCTGACCTCAACCCTCCCTGAGGACACCTCCTATTCCTGGTCTGTGAGAAAGCCTTTCCCAGTGGGGGACATGTTCTGGCTGAGGAGCACCCATGTAGGAGCTGGGGGTGTCCAGCTAGAACCCACAGCATTAAGCTTCTCTCTCTCTCTGTATGGAGAAATTTAGGCTGCTGGCTAAAGAGTGCAGTGGAAAACACACATCTGGAAAAAAACACTGGTATCAATCCACAGTCAGAAAGGATTTTATTTTAGATTATTTTCAGCTCATTGAAACATCAAAAATTTCTTTCAGAGTTTATACAAAAAAGAAAAGTTTTAATTTTAACTAAGCATATGTTTAAGCATTGCAATAAAAGTTGCTTGATTTTCACTGGATGCTGCTGAAATAATGATTTAGAAATTAGAATAAAAAGGCATAGATTTAGCTTTTTTAAGTTTGAAACTT